GCAATATATTCGTAGTGCTGATCACAATAGCAAAATCTGAGATACTTCTAGTGAGCAGGTCTAATTGGTATATGTAGATAAGCCTCTGTCAGATCTATAGAGGTCAGGACATCGTTCTCTCTGATGCTGAGCAGAATGGACTGGAGAGTAGTCATCTTGAATTTTCGATAAACCAATGATCTGTTCAAACGTTTGAGGTCCAGAATTGCCCTCCAGCCCCCCGAACTCTTTGGAACCACAAACAATTGAGAGTAAGAGCCTTGACCCCGTTGTTCAGATGGGACCTCTCTAATGGCCCGAATATGCAGAAGATGATTGATAGCCTCCTGCATCAATGTCCTCTTAATGGGGTCCGTGGACCTAGGGCTCCTAATGAAAAAGTTCGGGGAGGGAGGATTGAAACTCTAGCGCCAAACCAAACCTAACAGTGTCCCTGACCCACGCATCAGAGGTGGAACTATTCCATTGATCAGCAAACAATTTTAGCCGCCCTCCAATGGGAGCTGCTGTCAAGGACTCACTTGGGGCGACGAAAAAATCGGCCTCCAGTACCTCTGGGGTTTCTTCTGTTTTGGCCTCCCCGCTGACCTCTATCAGAAGATTCCAACCTATCCTGTCTAAAACTGGGCCTGTAGCCTGATGTTGTCTGCGATCTGGTAACGTATGGGCCTTGATAGTAGGGCCGAAAGGAACCCCTTCGAAACAACTGGGGCGTTCTGTTTTCAGACCTCCGAAAAAGAGGGGGAAACACTTTTTTCTTGTTCCTATTCTCAATAAGCAGGGGCTCTAAGACACTGCCAAATAATTTATCCCCCGATATTGGGGCTGATGCCAGCTTGCATTTATGCTTGGTATCCGCCTGCCAATGTCTGAGCCATAGCAGTCTCCGTGCTGATACGTGAGATGCTATGGCTCTAGACAAGAATTTGACTTAAAAGTGGCGTCGGCGGAGAATTCTGCCACTGCAATAATCTTAGCAATGTCCTGGTGGACTCTGACATTTGATGCCGGCAATATATCCCTCAAGTGGAAGAGCCATCGTAGGGAGGACCATGTGAAAAAAGACGCAGCTGTAACTGCCCTAATGGCCCAGGCGTCAGAAACGTGCGCCCTACGGAGTGCCAACTCTGCTCTCTTTTTCTCCGGTCTCAGGGCTTCCTCGGCCTCGTTGGGAAAAGTTGAAGAGGCCAGTGCCACAATAGGCTCATCCACCTCCGGCGTTTTGAGAAAATTTGTAAACTCTGGTGCTAAATTATAATATCGTTTATCGTACCCTGTTGGGGCTGGGTAGGATGCTGCTGATGCCCATTGATTTTGTACTAAATCAGCAAACATACGAGGGACAGGAATAGTTTCTGCCTCATTAGCCGGTTGTGAGAATATTAGATCCTCGGATTCGTCCTGAGACCCTGATGATAATGGATGAGGGTTTGATGTCCCTAGTTTAGCAGTGTTCTTTGCTTTGAACAGTAAAGATTTAAAGAGGTGCGGACGAAAAAGGCCAGAAAAGGTAGGTTGGTCCGGAATGAGGCCTTTGTCATCCGACATTCCTCATTCTAGTGGGTCAGCCTCTGACAACCCCAAGTCCATCTGATGGATCAACCCCACCTCCATCGGAACATCCTGGTCATCTAATTCCACCTCCTCCCAAAGACCCTGGACTGGTAAGTCAGGAGTATTGGGGAATACCTGAGTTTGATAGTGTCCCAAACGCGCAAAGGAACGAGCAGATAGGGATCCCACTTCCGAAGTAGCCGAAAGGTATCTGGTCCGGATGGATTGATGAACTCCAGCCGCAATGCCCTTTTTTATGGCTATCTCCATCCATTGCCTCATTTCGATGGGAATAGTCTCAGGTAATCCCTCCTCCTGTCTTAAACCGGTGGCCGTAGGGGTGAAGGTTGCCTCTGGGATTCACCGGGCAGTGCTCATTGGAGGAGATATGTCTATGGGAGGCTGTCCAGAGATAGTCTGTCTGGGCTGGGTAGATAAGTCCAAGGGCCCCAGCAATGGACTTGGGTCCTGATCTGATGGATGTGTCATAGCCATCTTGTCCGCCTCCCTGGCCCATTTCTGCAACTGCCTTTCCAAGGCTTGGTGCCGTCTATGGGCATCCTTATCCGCCGCCTTAGAGGCCTTTTTGGGGCCCACTGACTTATCTCGGGACTTATTTGTCTTGGAACGAAAGATGTTGTCACCTTCCATTGTGGAGGACTGATTCTTGTGCCTCTAACTTTATTTTTTTAAAATTATTGTTATTATTATTATTATTATTAGTAGTAGTAGTAGTAGTACTTAGGGGTGATGCCTATCCCTGTGGTTGAAAGTAGAACGCTTCTCCAGGAGTGTAAGTCTATACACACACACACACACACACACACACACACACACACACACATATACACATACAGGTATATGTATGGTATTCTTAAGAAAACAAATACAGGTGTGTGTGTGTGTGTGTGTGTGTGTGTGTGTGTGTGTATGTTTTCTGAGGTTCTCGCGGGTATTTGTATGTGGATCTTTGGTTATTCGGGTTTTCTCCCGCGTAAAATTGGAAGTATCTAGGCAACGTTTCGATGAAGTCTCATTCATCATCTTCAGGCTTGTGTATATATATATATATATATATATATATGTAAAACTGAGTATATGGTGAACAGTATCTAAGGGTCCCCAACAAGGGAAACCCCCAATCGCTCCAAGCAAAAAAGGGGATCTCTGGTCCCCAACAAGGGAAACAAGCTATACAGGACCTGGATGGATCCTTTCCTGTCAAAAAACGTCCCGCTGTTTGAAATGGCACTTGCGGCTTCACTCCAATGTAATGATTCAAAAGGAATTGCAAAGAAATTCCTGTTTAAGAACTAGCCTGCTTTTCCAACGCCAGCAAGATAAAAGAGAAATAATCCCAGGAAAGTGGAGTGGGAAGGTACTTGCCCCGGTCCCCAAGAAGGGAAACCAGTGGGGAATGGCGCCTGTGTATTTAGGCGCGAACTTGAAGCCAGGCGTTGAAAATGGCGGGAAGGCAGAATCTCCGATGTTAATTGCCTGAGCAGTTTAACGAGCCGCTGCTGCTGACTCTCTAAATTGTCAGATAAATGATCCTGTCAGTCAAAGCGGCACGGAGGAGAGAGCCGCGGCTGCAAGCACTCCGCCAAGATCGCAGAGATAAAACGATCGGGGGAATAGATAAGCTAATTGCCTGAAGCGGCCGTCTCAGGCTGCCTGCAGAGTGGCAGGCTCCGCCTGTCACAAAGAGCTGCTCTCAACTGATCGGGGGGATAACCTAATAGAGCCACAAGCCTTGAAATCACCAAATTAATTGGGGGGGAAATTTACAAGCCGAATTAACCCAAGAGCAAACCTGAATTTTGAGTAGCTGAATCAGAAACCGTTCCAATCAGGGAGTGCACAACCTCTTACCATGAAGGCTGAGCTAAAACTGGGGGATGCTGGGGAGGTGTCCCGTGGAGGAGGAGGAGTGTCCCGGAGTTTTAAGCCCAGCCTTTCCAGAAGAGACTGAAGCACCTCCCACTTCTGGATGCTCTGAACAGCTCATGGGAGAACCACTGTATCTTCCTGTTTGCTACATGTAAAACACTAAATGAAATGTAATTGGTTTATCAAACTCATAATATGCTTAAATCATAATGAATTTAGGCAGATTACAATAAAATAAAATCCAAGCCACTGTATCATCAAGCCAAAGTAAAAAATTATAACAAATAAAGCACAAGATTATTTATTTATTTATCGTATGGCACATTCACACCAGAGCACAAGATTAATAAATAAGAAACAAGTCAAAATTTGGTTCCAATAACACTTATCTTCAAAGACTTCCAGAAGAATATCATTTCACTACATTCTTGAAGGTCACCACTGAAGGAGACATCTAAGCTTCTGAAGGAAAGTTGTTCAAGTGTATGGGAGCCATGATGAAACAACAGTATTATCTGGTTCTACCCCATCTCACCTCATGAAAATGGGGGACAACAAGCAACTTATCCTGGAAGGATCTTGCTGGATGAGTCAACTCTATTTTAAGTAGACAGTTCTGAAGAAACCTACTTTCCAAGCTATATTTACTGGTAATATGTGAATGCCCACTTCAAGGGGGAACAGCAATAATTGACCAGACTGATACCAAGTAACATACTTTATCCATCATTGTAGCAAAATTCCACCACTGCCTAGAATTTGGATAAAACTTGGATGCAGAACTTTAAAAAAATAAACCTGCAAAATCAAGGTCCATTAAATCAAGATGCAAGATTCTAGCTACTTTGAAGAGGGAAACTTTGGGGAAATGATAAGGCCACTCAGGCATGTATTCTGTGGTTAACAAAATGAGAAGCAAAGTACCAAAGACAAACCACCAGCTATTATATTACTATTTATATTAATAAATTTACTTTATGGATCCTTAGAGTAATATGGTGGCTCAATCAAACTCTGACATACGTAATGTTAGACATTTTAATGACCCCGATAAGCACAACATTCATATTATTAATCAAATCAATCAATCAGGCCAAGGTGTTCCATATAGAAAGCCAATCTGTGTGCGTTAGCCTTAACTAAACAGAAAAGAGTTAAGCTGCAACATTAGAAATACTGCTATTTGATCAGCAAATGAAATAGTGCAGATACCACATATCACAGACTCATATCATTGAATGTTCTCAAACAATCCAATAGGAAAAATAATCTTAAATCTAAAAGCATACCATCACAAGAGGAAGGCAAGGGTTATACACAGAGATATTTTTCATGTTTTATGAAAGGTACAATCAAAACATAAATGTATTGCCCTAGCCACTATTTGTGAGATCTGAGACCTAAAATGTTTCAGACTGTAGATTCTCAAGATGGCTGAGAATATTTTGCCTCCATCATACAGGGACATAAATTTAGAGTGATCTGAATTTGGTTTAACAGCTCTTTTATGAATGCTAATTAACCTTTTAGTAGTATACAAAGAAACAGCAACTTACAGGACAATGAGTGTGTGCCTTTGGGTAAATATTCAAAGAGCAGAGAACTCTCTTCTCCCAGCATGTCAGCTTTCAAGGACAATAAGCTATTCTTGCTCATGAGAGCTGCTCGCAAGTTAGCAACTGCTAGAGCCTGAAGTGCATCCTCTTTCTCTGGATTAAGTGGCTGAGAGAGATAACTCACATCACCTCCGAGGAGTGCTTCATCAACCTTTGCATAAAGATCCACTCTCTCTATTCTGTTGTCAGAATTGTTGGGCTCTGCCCCTGTCAGATCCACACCTGAATGAAAAAGAAATAAATGTAAGTTTACATTTAAGCATGTAGACTTAGCAGAAGTGCATTTGTAAAATCACATTAGAGCTCACAGTGTCAGCACCAGTATTCAGAGCTAAAAGTCTTAAAATATATGCTTTTTTCCCAACTTACATTTCATATCTTCATGTTATGATCTCTTCACTGATATTACTTTCATAGAGTGTACACTTTGCAAGATATACAATATATATACAGCACTTTGTTGTATCTTTGCTGCTATAGTACCAAAGACTAATTAACCAGTTTAAAAAAATTAATCCAGATTAGCTTTTTGTTTCTTTTGTTAACTCTGCTACAGTTTAATCAAAGAGTGTACTACTGTTAAACAACATTTTATACTATTTCCTAACTTAAAAGGTAGCGTTAAAAAGCAGGTCTCTCGTGAAATTTATTACTTCCATAGCAATATACTTTCATTTTTTAACAATACTTTTCAAAGATCAAGTAGCAGAATATGAAGTTTATAGAACCATGTCCTGAATATCTTCTTTCAGAAATCAAGACCAGAAAAATGCTATTACCAATAACAATAAAAGTCACTGAGGTCTGTCAAAGACACTCTTGCCGTGTCTAGTTACCAGATATTGCCGCTGAGATCACACCATCGCAATCAATTAAGCAACTTGGAAACAAGATTTATTTAAAAAAAAATATTCAGGGTAATCAGTATCTATTAATGAGCGTTGAACTACCTCACTTCCCTTCATCTTCTTTGGAAGCAGAAGAACAACCTGTTTTCAAATTCTTAGTACATAGGAACCAATTACACTGGAAGGCCAGAAAAATCATTTCCAGATTTTTATTATCCTGTTTCAGCATTCTATTTTCACACCCACATCAGGGAACTGATGAACCAAGAGCTGTACTGTCCAAGATTAAATTTACTGCTGCTATATGAAGAAGGGCAAGACCATGAACTATGATACAATGGTGATAGAAGTTGACACAGATAAATGAAAAACTTAATTAAATTGTGGGAGCTGTATCAGACATTACAGGAATACAAATTGAAAAACCTCCTCCATCTGTTACAGAAAGGAGTTGGGGAAGTTAATAACTAGAAACTCAGAATTTAAAAAAATAAATAAACCTTCCATTTTATTAATAGGTCATTTATAAAAACAAACCTGATTTCTGCTTACCATTATCAATCTGAAAAACAAACTGAATAAAGTGATAGAACTAGATTTCTGATATATGTAGAGAAAAAGGTTGCGAAGAGATTTTAAACACTGGTCTTGATGTATGATTGAGAACTCAATTTATAGGATTAATAAACTCTTTACAAGACGAATAGACCAAACTGTTTTGGTCATATTCAGTCTTCTAAATTTTGCTAAAATCACACTCTCAGAAGTGGACACACTCAAAATAATTTTACATTATAGCTATTTTTCAATGCCACTGTCCCTTTCTTTCCAATGAAAAGTATTAACTTAAAAATATTATTTAACGATTTTCATAAACTATATGCCTTGCCCCATATGGTATTTATTTTGCCACACATTTACAATACTGAAATAAGTTCTAGTTAGTTCACAGGGGTTGGATTTATACACTACATGAAGTATAATATGGTTTCTTCTGTATTAATTTAGAGCGTTGTGTAAAATGGGCGTTGGTTCTTACCTGATACGCCCCTTCTCGGCGAGCCGTGAGGAGCATCCAGAGAGTGGGATGTGCTTCTGAGTCCTCTTCTTGCAGGCTGAGCTTTAGATGAGGAAACGCTCCGCCCCCTCGCATGACACCGCGCAGCGTCTTCCCAGTTTTTTGCGATAACGAGAAGAGAGGTTATGAATTCCTTCTAATCAACTATTGGCTCCTTGGCTGAAACAAGAGTCCCCACCAGACGGAGAAGCTAGGGTGGGGCTGGATGCTCCTCACGGCTCGCCGAGAAGGGGCGTATCAGGTAAGAACCAACGCCCATTCTCCCTCGAGCCGCTCGGAGCATCCAGAGAGTGGGACATACCAAAGCTTGGCTGGGACTCCGTCTGGGCCGGAAGCCCCTCCGGGTCATTGATGACCCTCTGTAGGACCCGTCGGCCAAAAGAGGCCTCCGCTGAGGCATACGTATCTATTTTGTAATGTCTGATAAACGGGGACGGAGAGGCCCAGGTGGCTGCCCGACAAATGTCAGCGATGGGGGCTTGCGTGGCCCAGGCCGCCGAGGTAGCTGCACTCCTGGTGGAATGGGCGGTTATTCCACCAGGTGCGGGCAGGGATTGAGAAAGGTAACACCTGGCGATAGTCGCCCTGATCCAACGACTGATGGTGGAGGGAGAGACCTTGAGCCCCAGTGTCCTGGGCTGAAAGGAGAGGAAAAGGGATTCCGATCTTCGCAGGGATTGAGTGCGCTTAATATATATACGCAAGGCCCTTCTAACATCTAGGGTGTGCCAAAGGACCTCCCTGTCCCTCGAGGGCCTGGGGCAAAAGTTTGGTAGGACCAGTTCCTGTGACCTATGGAAGGGTGAGTTAACCTTGGGTAGGAATGTGGGGTCGGGACGAAGGACCACCCGATCAGCGTGGAACACGCATAGATCACTCCTAACTGACAAAGCTGCTATTTCTGAAACTCGACGAGCAGAAGTAATAGCCACTAGAAAAACTACTTTAAAAGTGAGAAATTGAAGGGATGACTCCCTCAGAGGTTCAAACGGATGACGTGTAAGAGAAATGAGGACTTTGTTGAGGTCCCATGTGGGGAACCTGTGAACAGTGGGAGGGCACAGGTTGGTGGCGCCCCTAAGGAAGGATCTAACCCGGGGGTGATGAGAAAGGGAACCGTAGTTATCACAGGAGACCACGGTTGAGAGGGCAGAAACCTGCCGTCTCAGGGTGTTAGGTGCAAGCCCTTTGCGAAGGCCTTCCTGAAGAAATTCCAGGATCTGTGCAATAGAAGGAGAGAGGGGGTCAACCTGGGACCCACTACACCACTTGCAAAAACCCTTCCAAGTGGCATCATAAATTTGTGTGGTGGAGGGTCTCCTAGCGGCCAAAATCGTGTCGATGACTTGACTGGAGAGTTTCTCGCTGGTCAAACGGATCTGTTCAACCTCCAGATGGCTAACTGGAGCCATTGAGGCTCCGGATGCAGAAGGGGCCCCTGAGAGAGGGAGACCCTGTCCGGGGGGATCCGCCATGGGGGCGCTACCGATAAATTGCGGAGGTCCGCAAACCATGGTCGCCTGGGCCAATAGGGAGCCACCAGAAGAAGGTCTGCTCTCTCCTGTATGAGTTTCTGTATGACTCTGGGAACTAACGGGAGCGGAGGGAAGGCATATAGGAGCCCTGGGGGCCATGGGCAGCGCAGTGCGTTGTGATTCTCCGACCCGTGAGACGGGTACCTGGAGAAAAACCATGGAAGCTGCGTGTTGGACGGGGAAGCGAAGAGATCCACCACTGGCAGGCCGAATATTCTGGACGCCTCTTTGAATAGGGATGGATGGAGACGCCATTCTGTTTGGTCCACCGTGGCCCTGCTCAGCCAGTCCGCCTGAGTATTGTCTATTCCGGAGATGTGTTCGGCTTTTAGTGATAGGAGGTTGGACTCTGCCCAGCGGCAGAGACGCTCGGCCTCCCTCATCAGCTGGATAGTCTGGGTGCCCCCTTGCCTGTTGATATGGGCCTTGGCCGTGACGTTGTCCGTGAGAATGAGGACGTGATGTCTGCGGACCTGAGGGAGGAAGCTGCGCAGGGCCAGGTGGACGGCGTGAAGCTCCAGCCAGTTGATGCTGCATCTTTGCTCGATCGGCGACCACCTGCCCTGTGCCGAGAGCGAGTTGACGTGAGCGCCCCAACAGGATAGGCTTGCGTCCGTAGTGATGGTAAGCTGTTGAGGTTCCGTGAAGAGGTGGCCCCTGTTGATGGCGGGGTTGGTCCACCAGAGGAGAGACGTGAGGACCTTTGGAGGAACCTTGACTCTGGCCTTCGAGTTGCTCCTTCCGGATCTTTGGAACGGGAGCAGGAACCACTGAAGGGATCTGCTGTGTAAACGGGCCAAGGGAATGATTGAGATGCATGACACCATTTTACCCAACAATTTAGAAAGGTCAAGTAAGGCCACCCTCCTTGAACGCCTAACCTGTTTGACCAGGGCTTGAATGCTAAGGAACCTCTCCAAAGAGAGGAAAACCCTTTGTGAAACCGAATCAATTATGGCTCCCAAGTGGGTGATTCGGGTGGATGGGGTAAGTTGGCTCTTTTGCCAATTGACTAGGAACCCGTGTGCCCGTAAGGCGGAGAGGGTGACTCTGGTATCCCTGACTGCCTGGGACTTGGACGGGGATAGAATAAGGATATCGTCCAAGTAGCAGTGGAGGCGGACGGGGACGCTCCTAAGGTGAGCCGCCAGGGCCGCAAGGACCTTGGTGAAGGTCCTGGGGGCCGAGGCCAGTCCAAAGGGTAGGGCCACGTATTGATAGTGAAGGCTATTATAACAGAACCTGAGGAATTTGTGGTGAGAGGGCCTGATTGGGATGTGGAGGTATGCCTCCGAAAGATCTATGGAAGATAACCAGTCTCCCCACCTGGTACCTAAGAGAATTGATTGCAAGGTGTGCATTTTGAATTTGCGCTGGATAAGGTGACGGTTGAGCCGTTTCAAGTCTAGTATGGCTCTCCAGCCCCCAGAGTGTTTGGGCACCACAAAGAGATGGGAATAGAATCCCCTTCCTCTCTGAGCCGGTGGGACGGGTTGAATGGCCTGGATGTCAAGCAGATGATGGGTGGCTGCATCCATTAGTGCACGTTTGGCGGGATCCCTTGAGGTGGGGGATGGGATGAAACAATCAGAGGGGGTGGACCTAAACTCAAGGGCGAGACCAAACCTGACGGTGTCCCTAACCCATGCATCGGATGTGGATTTGTCCCATTGGGCGGCGAAGTGACTGAGGCGGCCGCCAATGGGGAGGGAGGGAGAGGCTCTATCTGGTTCGGCGGTAGGGCCTTCCTCCCGATCCCCG